ATATATATCTGTGTGTGTGTGAGAGAGAGAGAGAAATCAACATTCAAGTAAGATTCTAGGGTTATATCATTACAATAATGAAACAAAAACCATGATTATTTGATTTTTATGCAAAAACAAATGATGGAAATGAAAATGAAAAGCTTTAGATTAAAGATCAAAGAGTACTAATTAGTATTTAAAAGTGTATTTTTTATCAAGATTTTATATATCATTTTGCGCTTGAAGTATCAATAACTCCTTAACTAAAACATGTTTTATAATAAAAAGTCTGATACCATAAGATACTTTTAATTTATGGTAAATGTTCATCCTAAATGTAGGCCTATCACATAGATAAAAAGATTGATTAAAGAGTTGAAGTATTAAAATTGAATGGACAAAGAGAGAGCCAAACTTAGAAAAGAGATGCTGGTGTAGTCCAAACTAGAATATTGTTCGGTAATTGGGTCATATCTAGAGCTGTAGATCTCAGATTTAGATCTGCTTTATATGGAAGGAAAATTAAGACATGGGCCTAAAACTTTCATGGGAAGTCAAGACTCATTCTGCTATTTAGAAGCCCAAAACTTAGCAACAACGTAGAAGTTCGAATCTGTCTTGCAGCCTAGATATTATTCAATGTTTAGCCCATATCTTGAGTTCTAAAAGTCCAAATGACCTCAAATTTTTTTTCCTGAAAATCTGAGACAATTTCCTAGAACTTTCATGTGGAAGTCTAGTTTAAATTCTGACGTTATCACTGACATTTATTCATATAAAAAGATAAGAATTGTCACTAACTCAAGATGTGGCCACCCACTCATCAATTAGTCATCAAATCAATAGTTTTCAATTTTGGTCTGTAGAATGAGGCATTTGTCATGCATTTAAGCATCTTGGTTTGTGTTCCTAGGCTGTTTCCTGGTGGGATCCTCTAGAGTCGTATATTTTTGCTCAACAAACCCTAAATAATTTCAAAAAATTCTAAAGAAATTCAAAGATCATTTTTAAATTATTTGTAGGTCTCACATATTTTTCCAACTATTTCACTTGATATTAGGATTGTAAACTTATACTGTAAGATACTGACCTGATATTAAATATAACTACTTTTCTTTAAATTTCTAAAAAAATACAAGAAAATAAAAAATCCTTGTTTTGAAAAAGAAAATTATGTTTTTTTATTTATATGCATATGGCCAATTCTATAAAAATAATAACTATATTTGCATAGATATTAATAAAAAGTACAAGGTAAGATTTAACATCTTTAAATATAAAAATTCAAGAAAAATAGTTTTGTTGATATATTTGCGTATATTTTTTATTTAATAACTAATTTATGAAATCCATGAAAACTTGATCTATATTTTAAAAATACCAAAAAATTATTTTGTTTGTTTGAATATATTCTTACTGAGAAGAACTTTTTTAAAACTTTAGATAGACCAATATTTAGAAAATACAATAATATTTTAGTTTATATCAAACAAATAAACAATGCAACTTACCTTACATAAAATGTATTAGGGGTCATACATTATCTCTATAAAAAATCAATTTTTTTATTTAGACTTTAAGACTAATTAAGATTTCTAATAATTAAAATATTAAATAACAACTTTATTTTTTTTGTTACTAATAAAAATTAAAATTTTTTTATTTTTTCTATTTATCACCACAAAAATCCAAGCTTGAAAGAATAATTTTCATGACACCAAGCATGGATGACATACTTTCCAAGAATGGACCATGTTTCTTGGTATGGTGAGGAATTCTCCTTATGTTCATAGAATTAGAAAGAATGGAGGTGACGTAAGAAGAAATCTTTAAATTATAGTTTTTAAATTTAGTTTAGTTGAAGATTCAGGTTTTGGATTTTGACCAAGTTATTAGATTGTTTAGATTAATTTTTTTAAATTAAAATAATATCATTTTAATTAATAATAAAAAAATAAAAATTAATGAATTGTAATCAAGTTTTTTATAGGATCTTATCAGGTCCATCATCTAGATTAACCAGATCATATTAATTTTTTTTATTTTTTTAATTCAGTTTAATTTCTCTCTGGTACCATAGAATTGATAGAAAGAGCCAGGCTGCAATGGCATTGACCTAAAGATTATCGAAGGACAATAGGTCATTAGGGTGTTTAGTCACGCTGAAATGGGACTATTCAGGGCAAAATTTCGGATCTGCACCCAGTTCGTCGTCAAGGACTATTAATAGAAATAATAAAGCAATTTAAATTCCTTTGAGAAATGATTGGGCGCACCATCAAGGTTTTCCAAGGCACTGCAGATATGTACTTTTAAGCACACACTAACATACACAAGAGCGCGCGTACACACGCAACTCGTTGTCTGGAAAATATTTATTTTCTTACAATTTTTTTGTGAGAGCGTGTGGAAAATACAGATAACAGAAGATATATTGACACACAAATAGAGAAGCAAATAAAAATAGCTTTTGAAACCCGAGGGTAGGGCAATATTTAGCTCTCATAAGATTTCCACATGCTTCATGATTTAGGAACTTAGTGTGCAGTGGTGGGAAGCACCATCATTTGTCTAGGAGGAATTACCCAACATTACCTATTTTTCCTGTTCTACAAGCTCTGATTTTTTTCAATACAGTACGCACGTGCAGCGCAAGCACATAGAACACAGAACGGAGATTCAGCAGAAGTCATTTACGACTAAAAAATTTAGAAGAATAACGACAGTTGGTGCTCTAGTACTGACAATTGGTACAAGATCAGTACCTTACAGCAGTACATCATGTGTATTTTCTGAGTTGCTAACCCCATGAAAACGGTTTGACTAAATTTAGAAGAATGATCTTCATGAGTTGCACAGTATTATTATTATTAGGATGATCTTTCAAATTGTAACCGTTTAATTCTGGCTATAAAAAGACGCATGCACCCACAGTCCAAATAGGATGAGAGGAGTAATTAGTGAACAAACTGATAAAGGGAAATTAACTTATAAAAGCACAATTAAGAGTTAGTGGCAGAATATTTTTAAAGAGGTGGGATCCCACCAAGGAGGCTAGGCGCCCATCACAGAGGAGAATTCTCCTGGGTACCTAGTTTGTATCTCTACTATATATTTATGAGCTGCCCAGTTCAGTTTGGGAAGTCAAGTTACAAGAAATTCCTTAACTTCCTCTACTCCTAATTACAGCCATCACTACCACCACTGACAACAACGGGTGTATCTCCTCTCCCAGGCCATGCCGCTCAACTCCATAGTTCCCAAGCCAGACCACAAAAGTGCTCCCGTGGAAGGTCTGCGAAAGATGTCCGAAATCAACAACAGAGCTGTCGTCGCCTACCCAGGACAAGCCAATTCACAATCTGTCCACCAACTCACCATATATCCTACGACCCTGAAGGTCTCTCACATAGAATCATAATAGTTCTTTCTTCTTCTTCTTTTGATGTGGGAATACTAGTAGCAGCATAGAGAATGGTTATATTTAGAAAGACTAGTGGATGATTGTATGATATAGAGTAACAATAGTTTCTCATCAAATAGCATTTTCACACCTATTACAAATTTATTTATTTTATTTCTGATTATTTTCAGTTTGAGGAGGTGGTGTACAAGGTTAAACAGGATCAGAAGGGATTGTGCTGGGGTGGCACATGGACCACCCGAGAAAAGACCATACTGAATGAGGTAACAGGTATGGTTTGTCCAGGGGAGATCCTAGCAATGCTAGGTCCATCTGGAAGTGGCAAAACCACCCTCCTTACGGCTCTAGGAGGTCGTCTAAGTGGTAAGCTATCCGGAAAGATCACGTACAACGGACAGCCTTTTTCCGGTGCCATGAAACGACGCACAGGTTTCGTTGCTCAGGACGACATTTTGTACCCACATCTAACTGTGACTGAAACTCTTCTGTTCACTGCACTGCTAAGGCTACCCAAAACATTAACCAGGGATGAGAAAGCACAGCATGTAGAACGAGTTATGGCTGAACTGGGGTTGAGTCGGTGCCGGAACAGCATGATAGGGGGGCCACTCTTTAGAGGAATATCAGGAGGAGAGAAGAAGAGGGTTAGTATTGGTCAAGAAATGCTAATCAATCCAAGCTTGCTACTACTAGATGAGCCCACATCAGGTTTGGATTCAACTACAGCACAAAGGATCCTGACCACGATCAAACGGCTAGCGAGTGGGGGCCGAACTGTCGTCACCACCATTCACCAGCCCTCAAGCAGACTTTACCACATGTTTGATAAGGTAGTCTTGCTCTCTGAGGGACATCCCATCTACTACGGTCCTGCATCTGCAGCTTTGGAATATTTTTCCTCCATTGGATTTTCTACTTCCATGACTGTCAATCCAGCTGATCTCTTACTTGATCTTGCGAATGGTAATTTGAAATTATAATTATTAATATTCTCTAATTTATTACCCTATATATATATATAAAAAAAAAAAAATTCATTTGAGCAAGACAGTGATTCAAGTTGGCTGTTGGGCCACTGAAGGTTTCTGTGGTACTTTAAACTTTGTTAATTTTGCCGAGGGAGTTTAATGAGACACCACCCCTGTAGAGGAAGGGGTAAACAATATTTCCAGTATTCAATTTGGTTGACTGTAGGAAATTATAGTAATCTGTTTTCGAAACAAACCACAAAACAAAATGGTTCCAGTTTTGAAATCATTTATCTACACGAATATTGGAGAGCTAATATGTATTCTTTTAAGTTAACTAGATAATAGACAACTTATGTATTTGCTTACAACTTTTGGAAACTCGCAGGCATTGGTCCTGATTCTAAAAATGCCACTGACCAAGGTGAGAACATGGAGCAAGAACAGAAGTTAGTGAAGGAAGCTCTTATATCTGCTTATGAGAAGAAAATTTCTACCAGACTGAAAGCTGAGCTTTGCAATTCGGACCCGAATAATTACAACTATACAAAAGATGCCTCTGCAAGTATGACTACCTTTTCTCTATCCATCTGATTATATTAATAACGACGTCAGAATCCCATTTCACTCTCCTGTTCTCTAGTGTTTAGCTAAGTAGAAATACTCATTGTAACAGAAACTGAAACAAAGTCAGAGCAATGGTGCACAAGCTGGTGGTATCAGTTCAAAGTGCTCTTTCAGCGGGGGCTAAGGGAGCGGAGGTACGAGTCCTTCAACAGGCTACGAATTTTTCAAGTCCTCAGTGTCAGTATACTTGGCGGACTTCTGTGGTGGCATACACCAACTTCTCACATTGAAGACCGCGTAAGAGCTTTTCTTCTCGCTTATTACCATGTAGATTATAGAGACTGCTTTTACCTCAAAATTCATGCTAGATTTATTTAAAAAACACACTGGTTCGAATTTCAAAGAAACTCCAAGCTAGATGAGACTATTTAAATTTTTATTTTTATTTTGTTTCTTTTGTTTTGTTGATGATAGCTATTCTTCTATAATCTGTTTCCCACGTCTTCTAAATCGGAAGAAACTGAAACCCGAGAAATTTAACTCCAACTCCTTGGTTCCACATGTGCTAACTGCTAAGAAAGTTGGCATTTTTCTTGCAGATTGCACTGCTCTTCTTCTTCTCTGTTTTCTGGGGATTTTACCCACTCTACAATGCAGTTTTCACATTTCCCCAGGAAAGAAGGATGTTGGTTAAGGAACGAGCATCGGGAATGTATCATCTTTCATCCTACTTCCTGGCTCGAACATGCGGAGATCTGCCATTGGAGCTTGCGCTCCCAACTGCATTCGTCTTCATAATCTATTGGATGGGCGGACTTAAAGCCGATCCTATAACTTTTATACTCTCCCTACTTGTTGTTCTTTACAGCGTTCTTGTTTCTCAAAGTCTTGGATTAGCCATTGGTGCTCTTCTAATGGACATAAAACAAGCCACTACATTAGCTTCAGTTACAACTCTGGTTTTTCTCATTGCCGGAGGATACTACGTTCAACATATCCCTCCTTTCATAGTATGGCTGAAGTACTTAAGCTACAGTTACTACAGTTACAAGCTTCTTCTTGGTGTCCAATACAATGAGGATGATTACTATGAGTGCTCAAAGGGAGTCTTGTGCCGGGTTGGAGATTTTCCTTCTGTCAAATCAATGGGTCTGAACCATTTATGGGTAGATGTAGCAATTATGGCACTGATGCTAGTGGGTTATCGATTGGTCGCTTATCTGGCACTCCATCGCGTGCAGCTGAGGTGAAATTTAGCAGAAGTTTACTTCAAGAAACAGGACAGTTTGAAGAGTTTTCTCCTTCTTCAACTGAGGAATAATGTTAGGTTCAGAGTATGGGAATCAGGTATTCAGATTTTGTTCAAATACCCTTCCCACCGAGTTGATGTATTGACCTTTTTGTTCTACTCTAGATAATGCTAAGTTAGAAACCTTCTAGTTTCAAATCTAGTAATAAATGTCTAACAATTCTGAATTGATGGAATCATAAAAGCAAGTGACAAAAGGAAAGGAAATAAACGAAGATATGCACATTTCCAATTGCAGGAAAGAAGAAAACGACCTGACCTTGAAGTCCAATACTCTATTGAGTGGAACTGATATTTCGATCTTTGTGGGGCTTCCAAAACCAAATATTGGTTTCTGTTTAACGGTTTTCTGCTGCAAGAGCATGAACAGGAAAAAAGGCACTCTTCGACAACTCATTGAAAGCGATGGACATGACAGATCTGAAGCAAAGCAGAATAAGGAAGCACCATATACCCGTTATTATACTAAAATATTTGATAATTATTAAAAAAAAAAGAATGAATGGTGGCAGAGAGTTAGCTTTCGTTCAAGAACAACATTATGAGAAAAGGCATGTGAAAGAATTTCTTCACAGCATATGATTGGAAAAAGTAAAAGAATGACAGGTTAGAAAATGGTATAAAAAAGAAACAAGACTATGCTTAATATTTATACCACTAATATAAATTATATTTTGAGATTTAATTTAATAATTTTAAATTTTAAATATTTTTTTAATATTATATTAGACCTTGAATAACAAAACGATTAAGAGTTTGAATTTTACTATCACTATTTATTTAATTAAAAAAATTAAGTAAAAAGTAATATAAATTTGTGCAAATTTCAAGTTTAAAAGGCTTTCATTTAAAGAAATGTGTTAAAAAATCATATAAATCATATCTTAAAACCTTACGTAACCACTTAAACTTTTAGGTTTAATTAGTTTTTTAACACTATATAAATATAATGTTGTTTACCATCCACAAGAAGAGGACACCTCCAATATTTTGATAAGAAATTAGTGGTATGTTTAATTACATAATACTAACTAGGTGGCTTTTTTTTCATAGTAAAAAAAATATCAAAATGATACAAATATTTTTGAACAAAAATCTAAGAATCTTATTAAAATAATAAGGTTAATAATTTTAATAATATAATTAAAAAAAGATATCTATAACAAATAAAGAGGGAAAAAATAACAACAATCTAATGCAAATGATAAATGTTTTCTAACACTGTAAAAATATATCTATAAAATATTCATAAAACATTCCAATGATCTTATTTTTATATTATTCATAAGAAATCTAAGATCAATTTTTTTTAACCACAAAGGGAAAAAAATTCATGAGACTCTCATGTTTTTTAAAAAGTAAGAGAAATTTGATAACTAAATTAAATCTTGATAAATTTAATAATATGATAAAAATATAAGGTAACAACTAAAAAACAATATCAAACGATAAAATTAAAAAACAAGTAAGATAAAAAAAAAAATCAATCCCTATTAACTTTTCATATTACATTAACAAAATAAAAGAAAAAAAATGTTACATTAACAAAATAAAAGAAAAAAAATGTTATGGAAGGTGATTAGTACTTAAAAGTGCATTCTTATTAAGGATTTATATTGTCATTTTTCACTTGAAGTATTAATAACTCCTTAACTATAACATGTTTATAATAACAAGTCTAATACCATAAGATACATTTAATTTATGATAAATATTCATCTTAAATGCAGGCCTATCATATAAATAAAAGGATTGATTGATAAGTTTAACAATTGAAATTGAAAGGAAAAGAGAGGGCTAAACTTTGAAAAGAGATGCTAACTGTGTCCAAACTAGAACATTGCTCGGTAATTGGATCATAATTGGAGCTGTAGAACTTGGATTTACATCTGCTTTATATGGATGGCAAGCTAAGACATAGGCCTAAAATTTTCATGAGAAGGCAAAACTCAATTATGTTGTTTGGAAGTCCAAATCTTAGCAATAACATAGAAGTCTGAATCTGTCCTGCAACCTAGATACTGTTCAGTGTTCAACCCATATCTCGAGTTTTAGAAGTCCAAATGACTTGAATTTTTTTCTTGCAAAGTTGAGACAATATTCTAAAACTTTAATGGTAAGTTTGGTTCAAATTCTGACATTATCAATGATATTTTATTTAGACAAAAAGGTAAAGATCGTCATCAAGTCAAGAGTTGGCCACCCACTCAATAATTAGTCAACAAATCAATAATTTCTAATTTTGGCCTATAAAAGTAGATATTTGTCATGCATTTAGTCATCTTGGTTTCTAGATCAAGATCATGTTGCTTTCTCTCTTTGTATTTTTGTAATTATTAAGTTTTGTTTTTGTTAATATTTTGCTTATACCTTTCATTTCCTTTCTTTAGTTAATTTTTATCTTATTTGTGTTCTTATCTTGTTTATTTAAGTTTCTATTCTTTCATTATATTTAGTTAAGTTTATTATGTCAAGGTGAAAAGAGTACATTAATGGTGTAAGAATAAGTGTAGTGTAAACTTAACATGGACTTTAATGTTTGATACTAACATGTTTTGTATTTGTTATCTTGTTCACTCTTAATACTTTACTTGTTAAATGGTTAATCTATATTTATGTTGTATAACACTTGGTATAATAAATACTTAGCACTTTCATAGCCCAACCATATGGTATAACCGACACTTTTGCTCTGAAAGGAACTTGATTTGTTGTTAACATAAGTTATAATCATGAATGCCTAACAATATTTACAAGTATTAACATTATTCGAATAAGATAACTAATGTAATCATGTTAATAACTTATAATCTGATTGGAACCTTCTTTATGTGTGGTTTCCAATTGAGTAATAAAAAGAGTTTATGATATACTTGTTTGAAATACTATTAGTGGATCCTCTAACCTTGACATTTATTTTATCATTGTTTAATCCTCATATTAATCCTCCATCTCAAGTTCTCATCAACTTCTTTATTATTATTATTATTATTATTACTGTTACTATAATTATTAGTATTATTATTACTATTGTTGTTGTTGTTATATTATTGTTGTTTATAATTTATACAATTAACCTCATGTGGTTCGAACCTGATCTTGTCTGGTTATTTATTACTTTGACACTCCTATACTTGGAAGAAGACATCAATCTTTTGGTTAGTCAAGTTTTTGGCGTCGTTGCCGAGAAGGTAAATTCTTGTACAAATTATAGTATTTATTTTACTTTCTCTTTTCACTTTTCTTGTATATAACTTTGTTTCTTTTTTTTTCTTCTTCCTTTTATTCTATTTCTACATGTGCATGGGAGTGTAGTCATGTACATTAAGTGATAAACTTTGTAAGGTATCCTCATCATTTTCATAAAATATAGCCAAAGAAGATAACTAATCACTTCATAATTAGAATAATGAGAATAACCGTGTTAGAACATTTAGAGACCACATGAATCGCACAAGAACAAGCGCACCATTATGCATAGTTTCCTCCTGATGCATCTCATTTTAATTTTAAGCCAAGTATTATTCAACTTTTACCTTCTTTTTATGGCTTAGATTTAAAAAAATCCATATTTATATTTAAGAGAATTTAAGGAGGACTGTAATATCTATAATGACTTAAATTGTAGCATGAACACCATTAGATTATAGCTTTTTCCTTTTTCATTAAAAGATAAAGCTAAAGCATGGCTACAAAATTTGAGATTAGGATCTATTCGTGCTTTGGATGAAATGCAACAACAGTTTTTAAAGAAATTTTTCCCTTCTTATAGAATAAACTCTTTCAAAAGATAAATCACCATATTCACTCAAAAATCAGGACAAGCATTTTACCAATGTTGGGATAGATATCGAGACTTGCTTAACAATTACCCTTATCATGGTTTTGAAATATAGAAATTGGTTTCATATTTTTGTGAAGGGTTAACACCTAGAGATAGACAAATGATGGAATTGATGTGCAATGAAATTTTTGAAAATAAAAACCCTGATAAAGCAATGGAGTACTTAGACTTGTTAGCTAAAAATGCTCAAAATTAGGACACCGCAGGCACTTATGAGACATCGCGTAAAACTCAACCTCATACATCTAGTGGAGGTATGTTAAACTATAGGGAAGATCATGACCTCCATGCCAAGTTTGCATCAAACTTGGCTAGAAAATTCGAGGCACTAGAATTAAAAAAGAGTAGTCAATTAAAATTTGTTCAAGACATTGTGTGTCAAATCTATGAAACAAATGAACACTCAACCAATGATTTTCCAACTTTACCTTCTTTTAAAGAATGTTTCTATAAACAAGCCCATGCTTTAAACAGTTTTCAAATGCCCAACCATAACCCATACTCACAAACATACAACCTGGTTGGTGAAATCACCCAAATTTTAGTTGAAAAAGTGATAATAATGCTTGACCGCTTTTTATGATCGGCTTGTTTTAACTCACAAGTGCACGAGTGTGCGATGTAGCAATTAACTCGGTAAGATCGAGGTCATATCCACAGAGAGCTAGATCTGGAAATTAAGCTAAGTAACAAAAAAAAACTCAAGAGAAATTAAATTAACAATAACTTGGTTGAAAATAATTGATGGATTTGTTTTCAAAGATAAAAAAAATGTAAATAGATTTTAAATGACAAGAAAAGTAAGTCTTGGTCCAAATCAATTTTAATGGTGATGTATTGGTGATTTCTTCAACATATATAAGATAACTCAACCTAATCTCAACGATGGTGATATTAGATCAGAAGATATTACAATGAAGATTAGAAAGATGAAGATTGATTATTGCTTAAGAATGAACGAGTACTTTCATATTAAGTAAGACATTGAATCAAGCAATCTGTATACCAAAACTAAAGTTTGTGCATAAAAATTCAAGATTATAACATTACCTAAATGATTTCTAAAATTTCTTTACAATAATAAATCATTCATGAAGAACATAAGAAGATAAACATTAAGCTTCATTCATATCCTAAAGAACTCACCTCAATCACCATTATCCTTGATTTGGATCCAAGAAAAAGTTTATCCAACCATGATTATATATAAGAACACTTCAATAAACATGAAAGAACTTGAATCCAACTGAAAAAATAAGTTTTACAAACTAAAGAACCGAAATCTATAAAGAAGAACACAATACAATTTCAGAAAAAATTTGGACACAAATCTGACTCTAACTTTGGACAGCAATTTGACCCTCTTAGAAGCTGTTTTTTGAGAAGTCTATGAGAGACATATTTATAGGCAATTCTGTCACCTTTCCAGATCATTAAAGAACAGCTCATTTGGACACCTGAGTCAAAGGTTATGGGCAAAACACCGAAAGGTGTTCTGAAAAATCAAATCAAGACAGCTTTACAACTACTTTGGTGCACGTTTTTCTTCCTCATTTATGAGGTGTCTCCTTCTTCTTTTTGACCCAAAATAATGTTAAAATATCCCCTCCAGCTTTCCATCCATGTGCTTGCCTTCTTGGATCAATGGATTACCCAAAATAAATCAATTGTTATTTGTTGTGTGGACATGTAAGATCATGGA